GACGGTCTCGATCTCCTGACCTCATGATCCGCCCACCTCGGCCTCCCAAAGTGCTGGGGTTACAGGCGTGAGCCACTGCGCCCGGCCAAAAAAATTTTTTTTTAAGAAGTCTTGCTCTTGTCACGCAGGCTGGAGTGTAGTGGCGTGATCTCGGCTCACTGGAACCTCTGCCTCCCGGGTTCAAGAGATTTTCCTGCCTCAGCCTCCGAGTACCTGGGACTACAGGTGTGTGCCACCACAGCCAGCTAATTATTGTACTTCTAGTAGAGATGGTGTTTCTCCATGTTGGCCAGAGTGATTTCAAACTCCTGACCTCAGGTGATCCACCCACCTTGGCCTCCCAAAGTGCTGGGATTACAGGTGTGAACCACTGTGTCCAGCCATTCTCTAAAAAAAATTTTTTTTTGAGATGGAGTCTCATTCTGTTGTCAGGCTGGAGTGCAATAGCACGATCTCGGCTTACTATAGCCTCTGCCTCCCAGGTTCAAGCGAATCTCCTGTCTCAACCTCCAAAGTAGCTGAGACTACAGGCCTGTGCCACCATGGCCAGCTAAGTTTTGTATTTTTAGTAGAGACAGGGTTTCACCATGTTGGCCAGGATGGTCTCAATCTCTTGACTTCCTGATCTGCCCACCTTGGCCTCCCAAAGTGCTGGGATTACAGGCGTGAGCCACTACGCCCGGCCTCTCTGAAATTTTTAAAAACAAGGATACTTCATCTGTTTGGAAAAGTTTAAGCGAAGATACATATATACCACATATAATATGGTACTCATGAAAGTACCATATTATATAACCATTCTGGAAGCCGTAACTTAACATTTCCAATGAAAGGGTGAGAGCAATCTTTTACCCACATTTATTTCTATTGCAAAGAACATAAAACATAAACTTTTCAATTAACATGTCCATACCTCACCAGTTCCATAAGGCCAAATAATCTGATTCATTTTCAATGAGTTTGAGTACTGATCTTGTAAATTCTGTGTAACAAAAGCTCCTATTCCTGATCCTGTGCCCCCAGCCATACTCATTATGATGAAAAAACCACTGAAAGAGTCACATTTCTCCACTTCCTTCCGGATTAGGTTCATTATAGATTCTTCATGCCTGGGTCCATGAACAGAGTAACTATGCAATGGCAAAAGAAACAAACACAAACACTTTTCAATTTAACCACAGATATGTGATGCAGAGACAGATATAGAATAGAGAGGTTTTTTTCAAAACTATGGAAGCGAAGAACTATCATGAAAGGTACAGGTATCCTGATTGACAAAATTTTAAATACATAAGTTGAATATATTTAACCCACTTATGCCTAGTGTTCCATTATTGGAACACTAAGCATGTGGGAGTTATTTATAACCTATTGCTCAAGGCCATTACTAAGGTCTGATTTTTCACTCATGCAAAAATTTAAAAAATTGCAACCTCTGGCATAAATGGGTTAACAGGTGAACAGGACTGCTAGCAGAGGGAATTTACAGAGTATAGAAAGTTCTCTTTATTTTTGAGGTTTTAATCAGATACTTTAATATTTGGGGTTTTCATAGTTGTACTTATTTTGGGGGTACATGTGATATTTGGGTATGTGTACACAGGTGTAATGATCAAATAAGGGTAAATGGGATATCTATCACCTCAAACATTTATCTTTTCTATGTGTTGGGAACATTACAATTCTTCTCTTTTAGCTATTTTTTTTTTCTGAGACAGAGTTTCACTCTTGTCACTGGGGCTGGAGTACAATGGCACGATCTTGGCTCACTCCCACTCCTGGGTTCAAGAGATTCTCCTGTCTCAGCCTCCCGAATAGCTGGGATTACAGGTGCCCGAACCACACCAAAAGAAAAATAATAATTTTTGTATTTTTAGTAGAGACGGGGTTTCATCATGTTGGCCAGGCTGGTCTCAAACTCCTGAACTCAGGTGATCAGCCTGCCTCAACCTCCCAAAGTGCTAAGATTACAGGTGTGAGCCACTGCGCCTGGCTACTTTTACTATTTTGATATATACAATAAATTATCAACTATAATTTCCTTACTGTATTATTGAATTCTAGAGTGTATTGCTTCTATCTAACTGTATTTTTATACCCATTAGCAACTTTAAAAAAAAAAAAAACAACCAAAAAAAAACAGTGTCTTACTATGCTGCCCAGGCTGGTTGTGAACTCCTGGCCTTAGGCAATTCTCCTGCCTCAGTCTCCCAAAGTGCTGGAATTACAGGCATGAGCCACTGTGCCCAGTGAGCAACTTCTTTTAATCTTCCTCCAAAAGTTCTCTTTTGTAGGCTAAGGGTATTCCTTTTCTCCTTTTTTATTTTGTTTTTGTGTTTTTTGAGATGGAGTCTCACTCTGTCGCCCAGGCTGGGGTGCAGTGGCACCATTTCGGCTCACTGCAACCTCTGCCTCCCAGGTTCAAGTGATCCTCCCACCTCAGTCTCCTGAGTAGCTGGGATTACAGGCGAGCGCCACCACACCCGGCTAATTTTTGTATTTTTAGTACAGAGAGGGTTTCACCATGTTGGCCAGGCTGGTTTCAAACTCCTGACCTGAAGTGATCTGCCTGCCTCAGCCTCCCAAACTGTTGGGATTACAGGTATCAGCCATGGCGCCTGGCACCCCTCACCCCACCTCTTTTCTCTTTTTTGAGTTAGGGTCTTTTTCCATCACCCAGCCTGGAGTGAAATGTGAAGTGCAGTGACACAATCACAGCTTACTGCAGCCTTGCCTTGACCTCTCAGGCTCAAAAAATTCTCCCATCTCAGCCTCCTAAGTAACTAGAACTACAAGCGCATGCAACCATCCCTGGCTAATTTTTTTTATTGAGATGCAGTCTTGCCCTGTTGGCCAGGCTGGAGTGCTGTGGCATGATCTCTGCTCACTGAAAACTCTGCCACTTGGGTTCAAGTGATTCTCCTGCCTTAGTTTCCCAATTAGCTGGGATCACAGACGCAGTTCAGCACGCCCAGCTAATTTTTATATTTTTAGTAGAGACGGTTTCACCATGTTGGCCAGGCTGGTCTCAAACTTCTGACCTCAAGTGATCCGCCCGCCTCGGCCTCCCAAACTGCTGGGATCACAGGCAAGAGCCACCATACCCAGCCACCCGGCTAATTTCTTTTTTTTTTTGAGGCAGATTCTCACTCTGTTGCCCAAGCTGGAGTGCCGTGGCGTGATCTTGGCTCACTGCAACCTCTGCCTCCCGGGTTCAAGTGATTCTTCTGCTTTAGCCTCCCAAGGAGCTAAGACCATAGGCACAGGCCACCACACCCATCTAATTTTTTAATTAAAAAATTTTTTTTTATTTTTTGAGATGGAGTTTTGTTCTTGTTGCCCAGGCTGGAGTGCAATGGCATGACCTGGGCTCACCACAACCTCCGCCTCCTGGGTTCAAGTGATTCTCCTGCCTCAGCCTCCTGGGTAGCTGGGATGGCGTCTACCACCACGCCCAGCTAATTTTTTCTATTTTTCAGTAGAGACAGGGTTTTACTGTGTTGCCAGGCTGGTCTCAAACTCCTTTCCTCAGATGATCTGCCCACCTCGGCCTCGCAAAGTGCTGGGATGACAGGCATGAGCCATTGCGACAGGCCTAATTTTGGTATCTTTAGTAGAGATAGGGTTTCATCATGTTGGCCAGGCTGGTCTCAAACTCCTGACCTCAAGTGATCCACCACCTTGGCCTCCCAAAGTGTTGGGATTACAGGCGTGCACCACTGTGCCTAGCCTCACCTGGCTAATGTCTTTTTAAAATTTTTTCGTAGTGACAGGGCCTCCCTCTGTTGCCTAGGCTAGACTTGAACTCCTGGGCTCAAGTGATCCTCCTGCCTTGGCCTCCCAAATTGCTGGGATTACAGGGGTGAGTAGTGGCCATTCCTTTACCTGGGGCTTTCAATAATACCAGGTAGTTCTACAAGTTTATGATACAGTATAGTATTTAATATTCCTAACAACAGTCCTGAAGCAGTGGTTCTTAAACTGTGCTGCACATGGCCGGGTGCAGTGGCTCATGCCTGTAATCCTAGCACTTTGGGAGGTGGAAGCGGGTGGATCACTTGAGGTTAGGAGTTTGACAGCAGCCTGGCCAAGACAGTGAAATACAGTATCTACTAAAAGTACAAAAATTAGCCGGGCATGGTGGTGTGTGCCTGTAGTACCAGCTATTCGGGAGGCTGAGGCAGGAGAACCACTCGAACCCGGGAGGCAGAGATTGCAGTAAGCTGAGATCGCACCACCGCACTCCAGCCTGGGCGACAGAGCGAGACTCTTGTCTTTAAAAAAAAAAAAAAAAACTTGCTGCACATTAAAGTCACCTAGGGACCTTTAAAAAATCCCAACAGCAGGCAGGGCCGGTGGTGCACACCTGTCATCTCAGCACTCTGGGAGGCAGGGGCAGGTGGATCATCAGAGGCCAGGAGTTCCAGACCAGCCTGGGTAACACGGTGAATCCTCGCCTCTACTAAAAAAATACAAAAATTAGCTGAGCATAGTGGTACATGCCTGTAGTCCCAGCTACTCGGGAGGCTGAGGCAGGAGAATGGCGTGAACCTGGCAGGCGGAGCTTGGAGTGAGCCGAGATCGCGCCACCGCACTCCAGCCCGGGCGACTGAGCAAGACTCCGTCTCAAAAAAAAAAAAAAAAAAACACACACCAAAAACCCAACATCAGGCCTTTACCCCATATCAGTTAAATCAGAATCTCGGCAGAAGGGAAACATGAAGGTGAAGATGGCAGTGGCCAGGGCCGGGTTCCTGGGAATCCAGTGGCCACAAAGGGCATCCCAGAACGTGGTGCCGCTGGGCGCACGGACAGCCTCCCGCATGACCAATGACATGCTCCCAGCGTCCTATCCTAGGACCCCAGAAGGACGGGCTGCCGCCCCCAAGAAGTATAATATGTGTGTGGGAGACTACGAGCCTTATCCGGATGATGGCATGCGGTATGGCGACTACCCAAAGCTCCCTGACCGCTCACAGCATGAGAGGAATCCATGGTATAGCTGGGACCAGCCGGACCTGAGGTTGAACTGGGGTGAACCAACGCACTGGCACCTAGACATGTATACCAGGAATTGTGTGGATATGTCCCCCACACCTGTTTCTTGGAATGTCACGTGTATGCAGCTGTTCAGCTTCATGGCTTTCATGACATTCATGTTCTGGGTGGGGGACATGTACCCTGTCTACCAGCCTGTGGGGCCAAAGCAGTATGCTTGCAATAATCTGTACCTGGAACGAGGCAGTGATCCCTCTAAAGAACCTGAGTCGGTGGTGCACTATGAGATCTGAGGAGGCTTTGTGGGCTTTTGTGTCCTCTAACTAGGACTCCCTCATTCCTAGAAATTTAACCTGAATGGAATCCCTAATAAAACTCAGTGCTGTGGTTTAAAAAAAAAAAAAAAAATCAGAATCTCTCGAAGTGAGCCGTAGGCACCAGGACTTTTCCAAAGAACCTCAGGAAATTCTAATATGCAGCATAGTTTGGGAACTACTGTCTTGTAGTATTTTCTATCATTGAGATATCTGCCAGATACGGATATTATATCTGGTAAGTTGTTATATTTTGGTAAGTTAGTTTGCAGCACGACAGTGAGGAAGATGGAAAATCCTGCTGAAAGAGATCCTTGAGTTCAACATTACCTGTACCGTAAGCACAGACACAGGCAGGGAATGAGAGTTTCTTCTGGGTAAAATCAAATTCTAAGTCTAAAACAGCAATTTCAAGATTATGGGCCGGGCGCGGTGGCTCAAGCCTGTAATCCCAGCACTTTGGGAGGCCGAAATGGGCGGATCACAAGGTCAGGAGATCAAGACCATCCTGGCTAACACGGTGAAACCCCGTCTCTACTAAAAAATACAAAAATCTAGCCGGGCGAGGTGGCGGGCGCCTGTAGTCCCAGCTACTCGGGGGGCTGAGGCAGGAGAATGGCGTAAACCTGGGAGGCGGAGCTTGCAGTGAGCTGAGATCCGGCCACTGCACTCCAGCCTGGGCGACAGAGGGAGACTCCGCCTCAAAAAAAAAAAAAAAATTATGTGCTTGGTATATTAACTGTACAGTTCTAACTTCGCTATCTATTAATCGACTGTGTAGCTGTCACTAAATTGAAAATCACAAGGAATTATTCTTACCCATATGCCCAGTTGTTTCCAGAACCTTGTTTTTGACAGAAGCATGCATGCTGACCATATTTCCATCGGCCAGACTGGGCAGCCTTTGACAGTGTTTGACTGATAACTTTGGGTTCCATGTCAACAAGAACAGCCCGGGCAATTGGAACTAGAGGGGGAAAACAAAAACAAAAACATCAAAAGAAAAAAATATTTCTTATGTCTTATTTGAGTAACTCAGAGCATAAGTGTCCAAATACCAAAAAAAAAAAAAAAATTCCAGGGGTTGGAGATAGAAAGATCTGCCATACTGCTTAGAAATCCCAGTGGGCAGCAGCAGGCATATGCAGATGTCCACCAAGCCCAGCATTTGCTAAGCAGGCTGAATCAGTGCAGGCCTAAAAGAATACCTGGATCAGATAAGCCGGGCGTGGTGGCACGTGACTGTAATCCCAGCTACTTGGGAGGTTGAGGCAGGAGAATCGTTTGAAACTGGGAGATGGAGGTTGCACTGAGCCAAGGTTGTACCACTGAACTCTAGCATGGGCAACAGAGTGAGACTCTGTTTCAAAAAAAGAAAAAAATAAGAGTACCTGGGTCAAGACTACAAACATATGCTGAATGCTTATGATGTGCCACAGACTGTGCTGGGAATACAGAGATGAAGACATCAAACTAGCCTTAGAAAGGGCAGGTGGGAGGCTGGGTGTGGTGGCTCATGCCTGTAATCCCAGTATTTTGGGAGGCTGAGGGAGGTGGATCATTTGAGGCCAGGAATTAGAGACCAGTCTGGCCATCACAGTGAAATCCTGACTCTACTAAAAATACAAAATTGGCCAGGTGCGGTGGCACATGCCTGTAATCCCAGCACTTTTGGAGGCTGAGGCGGGCGGATCACCCGAGGTCAGGAGTCAAGACCAGATTGGCCAACATGGTGAAACCCTGTCTCTACTAAAAATACAAAAAATTAGTTGGGTGTGGTGGCACATGCCTATAGTCCCAGCTACTCAGGAGGCTGAGGCAGGAGAATTGCTTCAACCTGGTAGTCAGAGGTTGCAGTGAGTCGAGATCATACCACTGCACTCCAGTCTGGGTGACAGAGCTAGACTCTGTCTTAAAAAAAAAAAATAAAAGAAAGAAAGAAAGAAAAAAGAAAGAGAGCCTGTAATCCGAGCACTTTGGGAGGCCAAGGCAGGCGGATCACTTGAGATCAGGCGTTCGAGACCAGCCTGGCCAACGTGGCAAAACCCTGTCTCTACTAAAAATACAAAAATTAGCCAGACATGGTGATGGGCACCTGTAATTCCAGCTACTTGGGAGGCTGTGGCAGGGGAATTGCTTGAACACGGGAGACGGAGGTTACAGTGAACCAAGATCACGCCACTGCACTCCAGCCTGGGTGACAGAGCGAGACTCTCTCAAAAAAAAAAAAAAAAAGAGAGAAAAGAAAGAGCCAGGCATGGTGGCATGCACCTGTAGTCCCAGCTACTCAGGAGACTGAGACCTGTGAATAGTCACTGTACTCCAACCTGGGTAACATAGCAAGAACCTGTCTCTACAAGAAAAAGAAAAAAAGAAAAGAAAAACAGTAGTTGGATCTGGTGATTCGGAGGTCACTGGAAACCTTTTTTAGAGCAGCTTCAATGGTGCTATGAGGCAGAAGCAGGATCACAGGTGATTAAGCAGGGTCCTCTTTTGAGAATCTTAGAAGAAAGGCAAAGAGATAACAAGGGAGATGAAAGCTATAGTCAAGAGATGAGTTTTGTTTGGTTGGTTTTAAATTGGTGAGATCTGAGCATGTGGAAGGGAAAATGCCACTGGAAAAGCAAAGATTATTAACATAGAAATGAAAAGCAAAAACAAAGTCATTCCCTAGTGAGATGGGAAGGAATGGGGTTTGAAAACCATGTGGAAGGCCTGGCTTTGAAGGGGTTGGTTCTATCAGAGTAAAGGAGAGGACTGTGGGCCACACCTACCTCCATTCTCCTCCTCACTGAAGAATCTCTCTTTGCAAGATGCTTGATATGCCTCATTCTCTCTCTTACAGCAGAGTCCCTGGGAACTGTGTGAGTCACTAAGCAAAGCATCAAAAACTTCAAAACCAATCTGATTGCCACACTGACCAAGTTGCACTGTTACAATTGACATGCTGAGCCACAAACTAGGTGTATTACCTCTAAAAACAACCTGTAATCGAAAAAAATAGGCTTTGAGAACCACTATATTACTAATAAGAACAAATAAAATGCCATATGTGTTAATTATATATCAATAAAAAGTCTTTTTTTTTTTTCCCCCCTGAGATGGAGTCTTGCTTTGTCGCCCAGGCTAGAGTGCAGTGGCACACTCTCGGTTCACTGCAACCTCCGCCTCCCAGGTTCAAGCGATTCTCCTGCCTCAGCCTCCTGAGTAGCTGGGATTACAGGCACGTGCTCCCATGCCTGGCTAATTTTTGTATTCTTAGTAGAGACGGGGTTTCACCATGTTGGCCAGGTTGGTCTTGAACTCTTGACCTCGTGATCTGCCCACCGCGGCCTCCCAAAGTGCTGGGATTACAGGCGTGAGCCATGGCACCCGGCCCAAAAAGTCATTTTAAAATGCCACATACATATATAATGTTGGAGATGGAACAGCTGCATTGTCTAAGGAGCCAGTCATTCAAGGAAGTTATCTTACTCTCTATATGGTTTTGGGATTTGTGATTTACTGTACATGAATCCATTCATACACAGCTCAATAGTTTCCAAAATCTGATTTATACTCACTTTTTTCCTAAACATACATTTAAAACAAAACATTCTTCTTAGTTGAGGTGTGATCAAAGAAAAAAAGAGGCTGGGTGCCGTGGCTCACACCTGCAATGCCAGCATTTTGGGAGGCTGAGTTGGGAGGATCACGTTAGCCTGGCTGTTCTAGACCTGGTCAACATGGCAAAACCCTGTTTGTACAAAAAATACAAACATTAGCTGGGCGTGGTGGTGTGCGCCTGCAGTCCAAGCTACTCAGGAGGCTGAGGTGGGAGGATCACCTGAGCCTGGGAGGTCAAGGCTGCAGTGAGCCAAGATGTTGCCACTGCACTCCAGCCTGGGTGACAGAGTGACATCCTCCTGTCTCAAACAAAAAAAAAGATTAAAAAATAAAAATAAAAACAAGACAAAACAAATGTCGATTGAAGAAATTAGTAGTACCACCCTCCACACCACAAGAACATGTAGAACGCAGAAGTGAGCTCAATATTGCACATTCAATTAACATTAATTTTCTCTCTTCTAAATATGACTTAGGCTTTCTCCACTAGTCTAGCCTGGTAACTTTAGTAAAACCTGTAAGAAAGATTTTGTGTTTAGCTCAGGTAGGACAGCAAGAAAGATGGAGCTTGGAGAAAGAAAACCATATGAAATATTAACCGGGCGCAATGGCTCATGCCTGTGATGTCAGTACTTTGGGAGGCCGAGGCGGGAGGATCACTTAAGCCCAGGGATTCCAGATCAGCCTGGGCAACATAGCGAGACCCTGTCTCCTTTTAAAAAAGAAAGAAAGCAAAAGAAATATTAGAGCAGGTCCTCATTATTTTTACCTAGGAAAATTGATAATTTTTGATAAAGACTTCACATCAGGTCTATGCAACACTGGAAATGAGCCGTGGGTTGTGAAGACAGACTCCGTGCTTAAAATGTCAAACGGCAAAGTAGGTATTTTATTATCCTCATTTTACAGATAAGGAAACTGAGGCTCTGAAAGGTTACTGACTTTTCCAAGGCCACGACACAGAACTAGTAAATAGCAAAGCCAAAAGGTCTCCCGTTCCCCACGGGCCCCAGGAGTTCCCCACACGTAACACGACTCACCGCCAGATGCGGACAAACACTTCTGTCCCGTTCAAACTTCGGACCAACCTACTCACTATGCGCATGCTTACTTTCAACACGAAACACCTGAGAACGAATGCGCATGTTCCATAAACGGAGAGTTTTTGTTGTGTATATATTTTTTCCTATTCAGAAAGATTAATTACGCATGTTCAATTTCAATTTACGAACTTCAGATATGGTACGCATGCTCAATGTCCACCGAAAGCTTTAGCTGACAATGCGCGTGCTCTAGTCTCCAAGCGCGGCTTCGGCTGGTGTTTTGCGCATGTTTCTGCCAGCACCTGGATCCTGGCGATAGTTCTGCGCATGTCTACTGCCCACCGTTTGGCTTCACGGAACCCTGTACGCATGCTCCTGCGCTGAACTTTAGGAGCCAGTCTAGGGCCTAGGCGCAGACGCACTGAGCCTAAGCAGCCGGTGATGGCGGCAGCGGCGGTGGTGGCTGCGGCGGGTCCGGGCCCATGAGGCGACGAAGGAGGCGGGACGGCTTTTACCCAGCGCCGGACTTCCGAGACAGGGAAGCTGAGGACATGGCAGGAGTGTTTGACATAGACCTGGACCAGCCAGAGGACGCGGGCTCAGAGGATGAGCTGGAGGAGGGGGTGAGGCCCGGGTCCCCGGGGGCCCGAGGTGACAGG